TAATATAAGGAATTCTAAATTCTTATTTGGTTTCCCGCAAAGACAAGGGTGTAAATGTTAAGTGATATAAATACGTAGGGACATATGTACATATGTACGTAACTTTCTACGAAGTGTGCAGGTTTTCTCCGAATTCGTCGTAAAATCATATAAGAAATATCTATAAACATTTGCTTATAGCAGTCGATGTATTATACATTGTTTTATTTTGCGCATTTTGAAGCTTTTTGCGCACAAATATTTATAACACAAGTTCTCACATTTGATTTGTTTTCTTTGGAATTTTCAATTTTCATAAGTACCGCAATTTTATTTCATACATGCATACGTACGTACATATGTATGTATGTACAAGCACAAAGAATCACTGAGGGCTAACGTCAAATTGGCCAAATGCGATTACGATTTAATTTTATTTATTTTTTGTTTTTTTGTTTTTTCTTTTACCTAAATCACACAGCCGTTGTCGGTGGCAGCTGTTCATTGTTGTTGGCAACTAAATAATGAATACGCCGTGTCATACTTTGTCTCGTGCTCTCATTTTCTGCTCACTGACGTAGTAGACGCCTTGTCTGCTGGCGCACGTCTGTCCACAGTTCAGTGGAAATGCATTTAGATACGATTTTTCTATACGTGGCTAGCTAATGAGATTTGTAATGTATAGTATTTAATACAAATTTTAAAACGTATGCACAAAATAAAAATTTATGCATAGGGGTCTCTGAAGTTTCACGGATTTTTTCTTTTAATAAAAAGTTGCGGAGTTTTTTTTTAGTTTGAGAATGCTGTAAGATATACACACTTCATACATACACGCTTACATACTACATGCAAATTTATTCAAATAGAGTACACAATGTTCTGCACAAATAATGTGACCGACATGCAACGGACTGTTGATTTTATGCAACTTTCTTCAGATAATTGGCATCTATTCAAAATTGTTCAGTTTAACGACCTGCTATTTACGTACGTGTATATGTACATATCTACATATGTACATTTACGCACTGAATGACCTGCACATTTTAAGAACAAAAGCGATTGACAGAATTAGTTTGCTATTCTTGCCATTTTTAAATGCACTGTCAGTGGAGTTAAAAACAAAATCAATGTATTCGTCATGTATTCGTCACGTTTTATAAATTGGAAAGTTAAATTATATTCGCTCTTGTATTTTACAAAATTTAAATCAGTAAAGGAATGGCGCTGCTTTAGCCCTCTACTGCATACTGCTAAGCTGGTCATGTCCCTAATACTTGTCTCATTCACACCTAATCCTCACTATTTACTACAGTATTACTACCTACTTTAGTAAGGATTGTGATATTTGTGTCATGAACCGGTACAGACCAATCAGCCAATATATCGATACTTGGACCGGTTGTCAGACCTAATTTTTTAGTTTAATATATATATATTTTTTGTTCAATGCTAAAAATATGTCTAAAAACTTGAAAACCAATTCTCTCGTAGCTTTGATTTTTGGAGTTCGGATATTCTTCCAGAAAACGATCGATATACATGCACATGTGTATGTAGAAAATACATACAGAAAACACATAAGTACATTTCGTTGCCTGAGTAAAAGATTGTCGTATGTTACGCACGTACGTATGACGCTTACGACAATCTTTTACCCAGGCGACGATTTGTGTTTGTGTTCGCCTTTGCTCTAGCTAATATTATAGCAATAATTATACAAAAAAGCTCATTCATTCGCATTTATCTTTATAGCAGAAGCTTTTCCTACATTTGTTCCCTACTTATTCATGCAAAATGGAATGCGATGACATTGAAACAGAACCAATTGAACAAAGAGCTTGCCAAACTGGCCTCTAATGTGGATGTAAAAGTGCATTCATTGGCACCTCTTAACATCTCGTCTCTTCGAACGTAGGCCAATACATAGACGTACGGGAGCACGATTGAGAGAATATTGTATCATTCTTGGTACGGGAGTATACCATATATACTGAACAAAGAAAAAGAGAAAAATATTTAAAAATAAATGTCGGCACCAAAATTGTCTGTTTCACTACATATTAGCTCCGATCCAATACTTTTCGTGTACAATCCTGTAAAAATGTCAAACAGCAAAATTATTCTCTGAAGTGAAAGTAAGAAGTGAGTAACAACAAAAAGTACGAGAACAAGAAAATTCATATTTCCCGTAGAAACGTCAAAAAGCTTATCGCATGACACTTTTCATGATTTTACTAGAAGAAGAGTTCGGGTAATATCTTGCAACTCCATTCTCTACAAAAGTATCCCAAAATCGCTCTCATTTACTGGATTTCGAAGTACGGGATCATTTTTTCTGTAACTTCCTGCAAGTTCGTGTAAAAACCTGTAAGTTCATGGAGTCCTGGATCAGACCTGTTAGAAATGCCTAATAATAATATATGTAATCATCAGGAGTACCCTGCGGAATGTGAAGAATAAAAAAATAATAATTTTTTTTGCTAATAAAATATAATGATTTCATTGTTGAAATAAAAAGGCAAAATTTATAATTACTTTAATTGAAGTGAAAGCATATTCTTTATCACTGCGTGATGTCAGTAGGTTCTTTTTTTTTTTAATAGCGTTGCTCTTCAGTAGACCATGACAAGTGGCCTGTTTCTTTTTAAAGTTTCGACATAAATCAAAGGTTCCCAAATATAAATATTATACCAAATCTGGAATTTTAATACGTTTATTTATGACGCGGCGGTGAATGAAAATTGTGCTCATAAAAACCTCAAAAAGTGCAATGGAGGATCCTTAAAAAAATGTTAGTAATAAAAAAATTTAATGCAAGTTGAGACTAAACTCCGTTGCTAAATTAAATATTTAAGCTTGAACTCATGTCGTTTTCAAGGCAATGACTGATTAATTAAATGGCGACCGAACGTTTTTTGGAGCTTCCAGTTGGACCGGCGCGAATTATAAGGCCAGACATAGTGTGAACTTTCAGAAACAACAGATAGTTATAGCATATATAAAGCTCATGAGAACCGTTGATGCATACCTTTTCACCTTCAAACAACAAAATCTTTTCTAAAGAGAGTGTTGACGGAACTAATTTCAATTTTTACTCGCACGAGACAACGTACAATACAAATTTGCTTAAGAGCGTGAAAACATACTATTTTTGTCTCTTCGCTCATACTTTAGCTCTGTTTCTAAGTTTTTACTCTCACCAAAAGCTATAGTATTATTTTATAGGGTATAATGTCGCCAAAGAATTTTTTCGCACTCAATAAAATTATTTGTAACGCATTGATCGTGTCGTGCGCGACCAGGTCACATTTTTCTTCGAGTAAAAAAATTAAAATAAATAAGTATTTAGAGCTTATATATGTATTTGTGTATAGTTGGACAAGTGAAAATTATTTAAAACTAATTATTTGTTTTTGCGTAGAATCACCAAAAAAGTTGGTAAGAATGGCACATGCTGTTGTGCGTGTTGTTGAGCGCTGCGAAAATGCGCAAGAGAATGAGTCATTAGGTAATTGTGTTTTGAGTACATATGTATGTATGTACGCACACTAGACTAGTCCAAAATATTTTTTTCCAGCCACCTTCCTTCAGAAACATTTAGACCCGTATTTTTTTTTTTGAAAATAATATTTAACCGTGCCACCCAGGCGTTGAAGTTTGCTATAAAAGATTTCATATGGGGAAAATAAATTTTTTATAGAATTGCTCTATAATTTTTGAAAATAAATATTTTTTGTTCGCATAAAAATATTTCCCTTCAGAAGTTTCAAACCAAAAATTATGCATTTTTAACATCAAAATTTTACTAACTACTTTATCATAACCGATAATATCATCTCTTATATAGAAAAATTTGTAATTTTATGTGTTCGTAACCACATAACGCACGTTGTGAAAAAATAATTGGTAATATATTTGTGATAAATTTGTGGCTGCAAGTAAATTTCCGAAAGCTAATTTTGCTGCGTATTTTGGATTACCCTAATGTACATATATAAATATAAATATATTAATAATAAATTTTTAACCATTTATTTAGATACATTTGTATATAATTTTATACGTACACACGTTTGTATGCATGCAAGTTAGGGTGGTCCAAAATAAGTAAAGTCGGAGTTTTAATGCTCTCACCCCTAGGATTGTTCTATATCGAAAAAAGTATACCCCTATTTTTTATTTTGAAATCAAAAAATATTTAGAGGTCGCTCAAAGCGCTCAAAGTTTTCCATGTATTTTATATGGGGAAAACCAATTTTTCGTGGAAATGAATGATTCTTGAAAATCATTATTTTTCGAACGGAAAACTCCGCTTCTCTTCAGGAGACTTCCAATAACAATATCCAATTGCATATTTAACCATTTTTCAATGCTAACGATTTTTTATTTATCTCCCCAATTGCTTTTTGTGGCATTTTCTAGGGATTTTGGTGGACATATAAAATATAGTTACTATAAAAAAATGGTTAAAAAAATAAATAAGTATTATTACTGGGAATCTGCTGAAAGGAAACAGGGTTTTCCGGTATAAAAATATTGACTTTCCAGAATTCTATACCAATTCTACGAAACCTTGTTTTTTCCCCATGTAAAATACATGGAAAGCTTTGAGCGCTTTGAACGACCTCTAAATTTTTTTTTATTTCAAAATAAAATAAGAGGGGTATATTTTTTCGGTGTAGAACAATCTTAGGTGGTGAGAGCCTTAAAAATACGACTTTACTTTTTATATGCATTTTTGGACCACCCTTCTGTATATATGTATGTATATTTGTACAAATAAGCTTTCGTCGAAGGCAAAATAACAACAGCTGCTGACTGAAGCGCTCATTTATGTATACCTGTACAAATTTATCTGCATAGTATGTACACATGTATGTATGTACATAAATATGTATGTATATCTGTTTGCTTTCCAAATGCTGCCAGCCTTTTAGTTGCCATAATTCTCTTAGATATTGAAATATTTAGCAAAAATACCAAAGTAACAAACAAATTTTAATCTGAATTTCCAGATTTATCAGAGTGCGAACTGGTACAGATTCCTGATGCTGTTTATCATTTGATGCGCAACACTCAGCTGAAAACTTGCGATCTCAGCAGCAATGTCATCAAAAAGATACCCGCCAAATTCGCTTTGAAATTCAGTTTGATTACAGGTGAGTTTAACTATAGAAAAAAAAATCTAGAAAGCAAATGAACTAAATACAACTTTCACGCAGATCTTAACCTTTCACACAATCAAATGGCCAAATTACCCGATGAGCTGGCCGACCTCAATGCCTTGGCGCGCTTAAATATATCCCACAATTCGTTTATAGTGCTGCCACCAGTTGTGTTTAAAATGCCTAAACTGCGTGAATTGGATGCCAGTCACAATGCCATTATAGGTAAGTGAATAGCTGAGATGATCTATGGCTTGAAAAAAGCTCTGTATACTCATGTACTTACAACTACTTTCATTACTTTTAGAAATCGACACTGATGAGATGATCACAAGCGATAACTTGGAGTTGGTTGATTTGAAACACAATCCCTTGGGTCGCACCTGCCACCGTAAATTGAAGAATGCCAGCGCACCATTCCGCATTGAAATCTCCGAATATAATGAGGACGATGACTGGTAGACTAGCGCATGCGCAATTTTTTACACAAACAAAACAAAAAAACGATAGTTGTGAATGCAGTCCAAAGAGAGTGATTCTCAATACTTAGCTCAAATTAAAATGAGGCATACATACATTTAGCTTAGTTATATGTAACTAAGAGTATGTTACCAACTATTTTTGTACACAAACATACAGCATAATCATGACTAACACGAATGCATCAGGTCCGAAGCTTAGAAGTGCATTGAAACGTTTGTCACTCACATAAAATACTAATCGGGAATGGATGTTGATTTGAAATTTTAAGCGCCAAAGGGTAATTTGTTTGATAGTCAACATTGCCAACTTTGACAAGGAAAATGTATCAAACAGCTGGTGCCAATTTTTGTAAACCACTTTTTTTCAACAAAGAAATGAAGCTGGTATAATTAGAGAAAAGGACATCAAAAGGCAGCACTTGAGGGAAAGAAAACATGCTCTGAAATAGTTATAAGGTACTAGATATTCGAGCTTGAGTGAGCGCGCAAATGGACTCAAATTTTCACATAGCATATTCTAAATAGTTTCTATTCTCAAATAAAAACTCTTTCTTGCATTTGGAAGCGGAAGAGTTTTTTGAAGCATAATACCAAAGATACTTAAATACTTACCTACTGACCACTTAGAATAAGTCACGATTTTTGTAGCCATTAAGATAAGTCAAATCGCAAAAAAAAATTGTAGTGTTAAGCTTCCTGAATGTGATTTCTATGCTAAAATATGTTAGTTTTAATCAATTAATTTTAGTTTAGTATGGAGTAATATAAAGCGAAAAGTGTTAAAAAAATAACAAATTTAGATGTTAAGCTGTTTGTCTGTGAATATTGTAAATATTTTTTAAGTTTCTCAGCCAAGAGAGAAAACTAGTCAAAAACTTAATTTATCAAATGACTGCCTTAAAAAATATACATATATTTTACTTGCAGTTAATGTTTTAGCGACAAAATATCTCAGTTCATTATAAAATCAGTTTTGTCTGACTGCGAGTGTCTTGTTTTCAGTTATTATTTTTTGAGATTTTTTTTTTGTAGAGAAGCCTTCATTATTTCTATCTTTTTTTTATTAAACTATAGAATTTATTTTAAGAAACGTATTAAATCATTTGTTCAAGCATTATATTTGAATAAAATAAAATTTTATTTTTTCATTCACAGTCAAAAAAAAAAGAGTATCTTTTTTGCTAGCCACCCGTTGTAAGCAAAGTTCTTGACCCCAACGAAGACGCTCTAAGATTCAGTTTAAAAAGTTTGTAATTTTTATGAATTTTTTTGTTGAATTTTTCTTAAAATTTCTTACTAAATGAAAAACTTTAGTCTACATGCGCGTGGTTGAAGCTTGGGCAGTATTTTTATAGAAAAATAACAAATAAAATTTTAATTTTAATATTTTTATTGAGAATCGTCAAATCGTCATGGTACTGCCATCTTGAAAATGACGACCAAATGGTCAACCTGGCAATACTGAGAATATCATAAATTACATAAATGCTTACGTGAACACAGACCTCCAGTAAAGTTTAGCGCTTCGAATTTTTAATTAGCGATAAATCAGCGAGATACTTTTTTTGGAAACTTGTTTCCTTTCTTGAAACAAATCATACAATAAAAGCGGGGTTTTCAAATATCTCGACACCTGTGCCGCCTACCGGATTAAGGATGACTTTCGTATCCAAGTCTCTGGCCATCGGGAAGTTGGCTAACATTTTATTACACACACCGCAGCAGGTGAAACAACAACAACAACTATAATGGGAGCATTTTTTCGACGAATACGTTTATAAAATTTTTTGAATTACAACTACATACATACATACCTCTGTACAGGTGATATCTCCACAATAAATAAAAGTGAAATTTTTAAACCAATAGTTTTGACTAAGCTTTATTCCTTATTTAGGTACATATTATATGTATGTATATTATGTTTTTCTTTTTTTTTTTAGCACAGTTGCTAATGGAAAATCATAGTTATATACTTATATATGTTTGTATGTCTGTATAATTTTAAGTTGAGTAGAAAAATTAAGTAGGTAATGCCTAAAAATTAATAACCACTTAACTATTAAATTTTAACAGCCCAAGTTAATGTTTAAGATGAAACTTTAGAAAAATTACTTAATTTTTTATGCGCTAAACTTATTTATGTAAATAGATAAATAATGATAAATTAGCTACTATAAGATATGCACCACAAAACATATGTTTAATTCTAAACGTTTCCGTAAAACGCTAATACAAGTATACATACGAAAAGATGCGCATGTATATAAGTTGTTGTTTTTTGTTTTTTAATTTTTAATATAGTACGCTTATAACAGTTAGTCCACATGCGCAAGTGAATTTGTTTGTAGATTACATTGAGCTTAAGTGACATGGCGTAGAAAAAATGTATACATATGCACATAAATACACACATACCTACTAGTTCATAGATATTTATGTATGTATGTATGCTCCTAATTATAAAGACACTTGGAGAGAGAGAGAAATTCGAGCGCGTAGGAGAAATTTATTTTTAGTATTTTTGTTTTGATTTTAACTTTTTGATCATTTATCATCATGTATGTCTCTACACGTGTGCCAAGTAATACAAATATCCACATGTGGCTTACAAATATCAAATTATCAATTAGTTTCCTTGGTGACACAAAAATGTACAGCAGAGAAATTTAATTTGTGCGCAACCTTGTCAAAAAAAATTGCATCGCAATACTTAAGGGTTAATGCCTTACGTTTGTGTCATTTAACGTGTGTTCGCAGCTTAATGGAATTACCGAAAGATATATGTATGTATAGTTTTGCTACGTGAAGCCGGTTGTCTCAGCAGCTTAAATGTGTTCCAAAGTATACTCTGTTTTCGTAAATTTTAATACACATTTCAAGATACGCATCGAGGGCTTATATTCAATAACCTATATTTGCAGTTTTCACAAAAATGAGATTCTGATATAAAAATCCAAAGAAGACTTAATTGTCATCTCTGGTGTGACGCTTGACAGAAGAATTTACTATTAAATTGCAAAGTCAGAATTAACATCAGTGATGGAAAGTAAGCCGCAGACAAAGTAGTTTTTGTGAATATTGCCGATTGAAGGTATTGAATATAAGCAATCGATATATGGAAATATATATATATGTATGTATGCCCATACGTTTTTATGTATAAGAATATTGTTATATTATCTCTTTGACATTTATTATACTAAATTTTGTTATTGTTTTCTTGCAGGTATGTATTCATCTAAGTAAATATTTCTTATTTGTAAAGTACAACAATAATATCATTGTATTTATATGTATGTATGTATGTATATTAGACTGCATCACTCCCCATACAAAAAAAAATCGGTACTATTTTTCCATTGGAATTATAAAATCTATTATATTTTAAGACGTCCACCAAAATATTTCGAAAAAATATTAAGATTTAAGTGAGCTGGACCAATTTCAAAATACCTCTTGAAAAAATCCCCTCAAATGACAAAACGGGTTAAGCTTAAAAAATTTGCATAAAAATATTTAAAAAAAAATTTTTAAAAATTTTAACGGAATCGTAATGATGAGATTTTTGATGCTGTTTTTTAACTTTTTTCAAAGTTTGGTATAAGAAATGCTTGAATAACTGAGCCTAAACTCTTCTGATTTAGACTTAAAAGGTATCGGTGGAAAGGTATTTTCTCACCCTTTTTATTTCTTTACTAATAAACTCATTCAAAGGATGAAAGAGAAAGGTAGGATGAACGAACGTCATTCAAAGATGAATTAAGATGTGTTGGTATTTTTTGACAGAAGTAAAAACAGTTATTCAAGTTTTTCGTAAATCAAACTTTGAAAAAAGTAAAAAAACAGCATCAAAAATCTCATTCTTACGATTCCGTTGAAAAGATATTTAAATATTTTTATACATTTTTTTTAAGCTTAATCTGCTTTCTCATCTGAGGGGACTTTTTTCAAAAAGTTCTTTGCGAAACTATTTTTATTCATAAAAAACTTCATTTTTGGAGGTATTTTCAAATCGGTCCAGCTCACTTAAATCTTAATATTTTTCCCAAATACTTTGGTGAACCTCTTAGAATATAATAAATTTTGTAATCCCAGCGGAAAAACCGCAACTTTTTTCGGTGATGCAGTCTAATGTATATATATATATATACATGAACAATTCTATGTTTGGTACTAACATTAACATGTATAAATATATATATGCTTCGTATAAGCGAATATGTTTTTTATTTAAACAATATTTGTATATTTGCCAGTATAAGTTGCTTAACATTATTATTTAACACACATCTATACAGGTAATATATATGTATATATTTTTATTTGACAACATTTCATAGACTTTATAGCATATACATACATATGTATTTTATTAACTTGTGCATAGAATATGTATACTATCAATCAATGTAAATATTCCCTTATGCTTTTGTAAAATTTTGATACTTAACATGCTCGCAACTGCCACCAAACATATTTAGTCTTAACCCTCAGCTCGCCATCATAGGTAAAATGCAAAGTTGATTTTCTCATTATTTTTTTTAGTCAATAAAGAACATTAATTCTAAAATAGTTTTATAAGGCTCTGCATCAGTGCACGGACTTAGAGAAAATTAATAGGGGTAGATTTTACATTCAAAAGGTGGTAGAAGTTGGTAGACTTTTTTTTAAAGAAACTATATTAGATAGTTTCTACTCATATAGTTGGTGTAATTTATATGAAGTCGCCATGGGATAATTGTACTTTTTTTTTTAACAACACAAAAATTATTTCGCGTTAATAAAATACTCACCAAGAAACGTACACATAAAATTGGTCCGGAATGACAGCTGTATTCTCTCAAACACATTTTAAATTGAAAAAGCGAGTTCGCTACTAAATGCGGTAATCTCAAAAAGATTTTCAATCCGATTTTGATTCCATCACGAATGCCGTAATTTAGGCCTTTTATTAATTAAAAAAATTATCTCCACTTAAATAATTTTTCACTAAAATTAAATTGGAAATGCTTGAAGTTTGCAGACCGTATTGCAAACGAAAAATATTGACATAAACAGCTGATGGAGATGCAATTTCACTTTACATCAGTGATGCTCAGAGAGAGATTTTACTCTGTGCGCGCCCTTAAAAAATCAACAGGTAGATTTGAAGAGTTCCGCTCGCGGGCGCTTTTTTGAGCACCACTGGTCTACATGCAGAGCAGTGCACGGACTTTAGATCTACCAACTTTTTAGCTGTATTTTATTTTCTATTCTACCATATAATATCTACAGCGACGATGGGCACTACCTTCCTCTTTTAAGCTTTCTATATATTTTGTAGAAGCGCGCGCAGAGTAAAAGCTCTCTCTGCCCATCGCTGATCTACAGAAAACTTTAAAGCACTGATGGGCAAAGCTCTTTTAAACTTCCTATACATTTTGTATAGGCGATTGCCCAGTAAAAGCTCTCTGTGCTCATCGCTGCTTTAAAGAGTTCATAGCGCGGGCGCTGTTTTGAGCAACACTGATGTAGACATATTTTTATAAGCCTTTTATATCACTTCCATGTCATGATTAGTGCAAATCCCCTACAAATTTATACTTTCAAATCTCTATAAATTGCCTTAGTCCAGAGTGATTAATCAATATTTTTTTTTATTGAACAATTAATTGCGCCTCTATAAAGTTTTCTGTGTAGATTAATTGCTTTTCCTATTTTCGAGGTTGCATTCTTCAAAAACATCATGAATACTCTTTATCTATAGCATTTTAAACTTTAATAGATAAAGGAAGAGGAAACACTCTATTTAATGCTCTTCAAGTAGCCTTTTTTAGACCCGAAAATGATTTGAGCTTTTCATCTATCCAAACACCTGATTTACATGATTCAAGTACTTGAAAGCAATTCTTGCTCATTCTCTTTTGTGTTTTTTATTTGCTTTTACACGTTTCAATTCTGTTGAATTCAAGTCTTTGGTTCTTTAAATGGGAAGCAACGAAAATGCCAAAAGCAAAGCAAGAAAGTTGAAACGACTTGACGGTACAGACGCATGTGTACTCGTCCCTTTTCTTCTCACCCCCTCTCTTCCATGTCCGAGCAGAATTGAATTCAATACTTGAACTGTGTAAAAGCACACAAAGAGGAAATACTCTCTGCAGGGCTTTTCAAGTAGTCTTTCTTAGACTCGAAAATTTACGGCTTGAGCGTTTCCTCTACTCAGAGAGGAAACACTCTTGACCGCTGAAAAAGGACAAAGCGGCTGGAGCTGATAGCCTGCCAGGTGAGCTATTTCGTCGACCTTTGACTTATCTATACCTGCCTCGCTTGTATGCTGAGGGACCCTTATATGCATTAGAGAGTGTACCAATCATGCTTGTAGAGTGCTTATTTGTGAATTCCAAAATGCAATATTTTAAACGATTCAGGAGTTGGTTTGAGTAATGGCAACAGCCTCGAGATGAATTTTGAGTTTACGTTTACGTCTTTTCCATTTCAGCACAAAAAGTTTGTAATTTTTTAATGCAAGAAAATAAGTTTGTGGCAACACCTTTACTTCGACGGCTTCCAATTAACATTCTGACACAAAAAAAAAAATCCGATAAACTAACTAAATGTCGTTTGAAAGTGGCATTCAACTTGGAAGGCAAGCTATCGCTTTGTTTAAATAGTCCTTAACTATGTATGCATGTGTATTTTACAATCGTCGCCAGTTCCTTCGCATACTTATCACTCAAAATGCCCGTTTACTTAAAATACAAATACATTGCTTATCAATCCTTTGCCTTTAATTTTGTTGCGAGATATTTTTGTGAAACCTGCGCAGCTCTTTTGTCAGCCACATTTGCACTTCCCGCGACGGTGATGGTGCGGGTTTATTCTTACGCGATGCCATTGCTTTTGACTCACCTTTGTACAGCAATGGCACCTCATCAGCGTGCCGTTCATCTTCCTCGCGGAATTTATTGTCGTCCGTGGTGCAATCCGTCTCTCCAAAGTGCAGATCCATTGATTTCTGTTCGCGCAGCAAGGACTTTGCAATTAATCTGGCTTGCGGCTGCAGCTGATGGGCCTGGTTGGCGTAGACAGACGCAGATGCAGCTGCGGATACGGTCCTGCCTACATTCGCCTTCACTTCGCGCATTTGTCATTCGTGGTACACAACACCGGGACTGCTGCTCATCGACAACGACAAATGCGCATCCATTGACTTTTGGCGCTTCGTCAACGAAAATGCATTCAAGTGCTGTGTTGTATGCGGCGCTGCTGTCATTGCGGCGTTGAATGCATGCATGTGAAAGTGTGAGTGGGCGCCAGTCAATTTGGCCAGTGGAATGCGATAGACGCGCAACGGTTTCAGACGGTCTGGCGAGCAGGAACAACCACCATCCGTGATGATGTTGGGCGAATTTCCGCCCCCGCCACCGCTTCCGACACTATTAAAGAGATTACGATATTTCGATGTGCGCCGTGTGGGCGACATTGGCGAATGTTGACTACTTTTGCTGCTGTTGCTGTTGCTGTTGCTGCTGCTACTGGTAGCGTTATTGCTGCCATTGCTAGCGGTATGGCGGGGTGAGTTTGGTGGCACACATTGCTGCTGCTGCAGGTGATCTGCAATGATGGAGTTGCTGCGCAAACCGCTAAATCGGTTGTCGGTGTCACCGCAGGAATTACTCTTGGCAATCACCGGCTTTTCGTCGTAAACATTGTGTGTCTTTTGCAGCGAGCGAGCACGGTGTATGTGGGGCAATGGAATACTTGCGTTGGGTATCTCCAGCAAATTGGTAAGTTCGTGTTCAGGGTTGATGAGCACATCTTTGGGAGTTGAGCATAGCAGTTCACCTTGTGAGAGTTCTTCGTTAGACGAGGCCTCACTCGGTGTGTTGACCAAACGGCGTTCTGACGCTGAGAATTCATTTATTTGCAAACCTTTAATGTGTAGATCCTTAGACATAAATTCAGGTGCTGTGGTAACAAAGAATATGTCGCGTTTTGAGGTGATCAGCTGCAGTTCTGGCATCATGGCCGTGTGCACCAAATTTCCATTCACCAGTAGCCGTATTTCTATTGAGTCCGAAGTGAAACCGAGTATGTAGGGGAATGCGCATACAACTGCCGTGGGCGAAGTATTCCAATGGAAATCGAAGTCATTTTTCGTGCCATCACGGTCACTCAGCTTTTGGAAGTGGCAGGTGTCTGTGAAATAAGACAATAAAAGAAAAATTCGCATTGAGATATTACACACGTTCCATTGTCTTGCTGCCATGAATATACTATTTAGGTAAGATAAGTTCTGTTCTGACCAAAATAACATAGGAGAAAGGGACTTATATTCCTCTTAGCCATCATCAAAGCTTTTAGTTCCCTGCTTATATAGTTTACGGTAGGCTTTTGAAGCCTCAATTTGAGTTTTTCGTATGAAACCCAGTTCCTCTTGCACAATGTGGGCGAAGAGGGACTTTTTGTGACTAGAATACATAGAATTTTATCTATATTTCACGGCGAAAATAAAACTTGAAGAGGCCAGCGATGCCTTTAAGTACAATCTTTAATATCCCCCGTACCGGTTTTAAAATCTTAGAAAATCAAATAAGCCCCAGCGGCGTAAATTAACGACACAAACATAAACAGGGCGTAAAGTGAAGGCTTTTGTTGAATTAATGCCCTGTGGGACAGCCGAATGTCTGCCTTTCCACTAGGTGGCGCAAAAGTCAAGATATTATTATAAACCCCGCTTTTGTGTTAAAAAGGTTTGTGTACAACTTGGATTTTCAAACGTTAAGTTTAACCCTTTGTCAGCATTTCTTTGATTTTCGAGAGATCTTTTAGGTTTTCTAAATAAAAGCTTAAAAAAAAACATAAAATGTTGTTTAACTATTTGCATTTTTATCAGACTCTTTGATTAAAAAAAACATCTTTACTGGAGTTGGTTGGTTTATTTATCAACTTACAACGTCATATTAGCAGCCAAGAATGATCAAAATTATTAAATTCAATATCCCTTCTTAGCCTCTATTCACTTTTTTATAAAAAAAAAAATTGGTGAAAAAATAAGAAACTCATCAAAAAAAGTGTAGTATGTATCGATACCAAATGTTGGGAAAGGTTGCTAGCCTCCTATTGTGTTTTACATAAATATGTAGAAACATATGATGCAATGACTTTGCAGAACTGCAGGCATATTTTGCAAGAAATATATATATATTTTTTTTATCGCACAACCACATTCATATATGTTTTAGTTTGAAATAATGTCACTGAAGATAAGGTATTATTTGATGAAAGAGTAGCAGCATGAAAAAAATATTTTTTTAATTTGAAGTATTTTTTTTTTGAATTACAAGAAAAAACATTAAAAATATAGAAATACATACTATACAATCTATAGTATACATGTGTACATACATGCAATAAATTTGCATTTACTAATTTACGTCAACTATTCCATGCAAATTTTAATTTCAGTGACGAATAAATTTGAAGAGATATTACAATTTTCATTATTTTTAATTTTACTGCAACTACATAGTTAAGAATAGAAATTTAATTTTAACTAAAAATGCGATTTTTTTGACCGAAGAAGCGAAACGTGTATGTACCAAAAATGTCGCATACATATGTACATAACTACTCCTTCCCTGACTTTGTACGATATATCGTACAAATTTAAATTATTTTATTATTGTTTTAGACAAAATAGTCGTGACAAATTGAGTTTTTTATTTTTTTGAATGACTAGTTTAGAAAATGCTAACAAAGGGTTGAGGCTTTATGAAACAGAAGATGGAAAATCCCTGAATCATTAGCCAGTGTTAACTAAAGGTAAACACATAATTTTGGTTTTAGTTTAGTTTTAATTAAATGAATTCAGCTCTATATTTAAGAGAGACTTGAGAAATTTACGGAATCGGATCAAAACGATAAGATTTAAAGTCTGCGGGTGTTCATTAAAACCGTTTTGAAATGCCGCACCCTTGAAAGCATGGATTCGCATAAATCTTGTCGGACGTCCGTACATGGATCTATTTGATGATAGTTCAATAGTTGAAATCCTAGGCAGTTGTTTTGAATAGCTGATTTCGAATATACAGTGACTCACACAAACGTTCAAAATGTTTTTTTTTTATGTTCGCAATGTTTTTGAGGTAAAATATTTTTTTAATTTTTTATAAAAAATAGAGTTCATTTTATAAAAAAAAAAAACTATAAAGTTGGGTTTCAAACTCTGCACAAGGTCGTCAGCAAAACAAAGGTCGATTAAAAATCAGCGCAAATTTTAACACCTTCAAGCGTTGATTTTATTACACTAAAATTTTATGGGCTATAAAACTACCAATTTTTGGATTAAAAAATATATATTTATTGAGTTTTTGTTAAAAAAAAAAACTTTTTTTTACAAAAAATTAACAAAATAATTTAACTTGAAAATTGGGAATACTAAAAAAAACACCTTTAAAGTTTGTGTGAGTCATTATATCTATCTGCGTTTTTTTTGCATACAATTGCAAATGCTTAAATATTTGAATTTTTTTCATTGAATGTGTAAGCAAAAATGCAGTAAACATGAAATTTTCAAAATATGGAGAGCATATGTGTATGTTCAAACAAATTAAAATCTAATTTTATTGTTTTTTTTTTCCTTTATTTCTGGAATGGTAACCTCTATCAAACTTTTATTCATTTCATTTTCTTTGTTATAAAATTGCCCATCAAAAAGACGGCATTTTTTACATCGGTAGGGTAGGAAAAGTTTTATTGTCCGTTTTTAGTTTTCATAACCACTAAAATTTTCTAGTTTTGTTTCAAATACCTTGTTTCTTGGGTCCTAGCATGCTATTTTGTGACTTGAGAACTACAGAGAACAACCTTGGGCTCATAAATCCAAAATTTATTTAATGAAGAAATTTGAAAGCCACACAGCTGTGTTGCTATTTTGTTATTATTGAATTTGTTTTTAATTTATAATTGAAATTATTCTAAAAAAATTAAGCTTTCTATCATCCAATTGTTTCGCCATACAATTGAAAAGCCTTGTACCAATTATGCTCTTGCTTATCTCAGTTCTCATGCTGCTATTTTAGATTAAATTAAGCACTTACGATTGTAGCACAAAAGTAGTTCCGTCTCCAAGCCATCGCAGAGTTCGATGGCCGCCGTCAGCTGTGCCTGATTCCTCTTTGCTGTCTCCAAGTCATAGAGTCTTGTGGCCGTGCCCGTTTGATCACACACAATTTCGTAGTGATATCTGAAAGCAGTGAGTTGTAAACAAACCCTTATTTTTTCTATACGATTATATATGTATATAATTGTCAACAGTAATTGCAAATTAATTGGTTACAAATTCATTATGTATTATTTTCCTCTTTCCCGCTTCTTTTTTTTTACGTTGCAGTCTTTCTAATTGCATACTCACTTGTAGCCAACGCAAATGAGTCCACCCGCATTAGTGTTAGTCGGTCCCTCCAGCGGCGTAATTATGCTTGGCGACTCACACAGCGTGATTTCCTTTTGGAAGATGAAACCCTCCACCGTTTCTGTGTCATTCTCCGGACACCACGACGCCCAGGCGGCTGTGTGCTTCCATTGGAATAGTTGTAATTTACGGTTGACTGCCACCACTAAACGCAAATGGCCACCGCTAATACGTGAACTCGCATATAAATGACAGCCACGTGTGCGTTCGATGCGTCGCTCCTTCACTTCGGCGCGACTGCGACAACGTAGCGACTCCTCTGCATATTTTGGTTGGAATTCACGCAAACGAAAGACATGCATGCGGTGTGCGTCACGATTAGTTAGCGAACCGCCACGTATCAGCACAAGCCCATGGTCCTCCACTACGCTGAGTTGGCGTACTTGAAATGACTTATCGAAGATAAGTTGATGTGATTGATCCTCTGCGAAAGTATTAAAAATTGTCGATGACATGTGAATAACTGTATCCATTTGCAACTACATACATACATACAAATATATGCACATATAGGGCTCACACATACATATATGTAAGTATGTACGCAGAAAAGAAAATCGACATTAATTTTACCTTTCATCAGAAATGTGCCATCGTCGGTGGCAATAAATAAGCTGTCGTCGTTGCAACCGAACGAATCGCCTGCCAGTGTGCCGCGGTGTAGAAAAGTTGGATAGAAGCAATGCGGCTCCCACGGTGGCTTGCGAAATATCGTGCAGGGACTGGCCGATGCAATGCTAGTTGGCGCATCGCCACGTACTATTGCCTCCAATTTGAGTGCCTGGCCAATGCGCACGAACTCAATTTGGCGCGCGTCTTCTTTTAATTTTGATGTGCGCGGCACATCGTACAGCACTTCGGAGAAGGCGCGTCTATTTAGCATATTCTGCAGTGGCAATCGTGTGGGAGATAGCGAGCGAAGGGGTATATATGTACATAAGTGTGTATGTGATGGATAGGCATGGCGATATGTCAGAGATAAGAAAATGTAATTTAGTGCAGATTAGACAGTAAAATATACATAGTTACATGCATATACTTAATAACGAATAGTACTTTTATGCATAAATAGAAATGTAAATACGTTTGAGCTTATCGAAGTGGTAGCATTAGTTAGCGTATTCAATGCATTCAAGTACTTATACTATCAGCAATTAACTGAGTACTGGATTTGCATAAATTACTGGGTATTTCGAAAATATTATGGCGCGACTTACCAGCTTACTATCACCCACATAATCTTCATATAAATCTTTTATCAACATATCCAAAGTCCGCTCGCGTTTTTGTGAAAATATTGGCGTTTGAAAAGTTGCCTTCTCAGCGTTGATCATTTTAACAAGCAGAAATTCCCGAAACATAGCAATGTCCTATAAATTACGAAGAAATAAAAAAGTGATGGTTAAATAATGTTTTGAAGAGTGCAATACAAGTATTTTTTAACATAATAAAATCGTGTATATTATGTAATTAACAAAATTTTTATTTACTAATTTATCAGTTAGACCTTAAACTAATTAATTTGGAATCGTTCCAAGCTCAAGAAAAAATTCAACAAAAACTGAGACTTCAACCGCTTATTTATTTCGTTTCCGGTAGTCCTGGCTTCCAATTCGGAGTGTTTACTTCCTTCCTGGTTCAAGTTGCTTCTTGTATATTAGCGTAGGATATCGGGGCAATCACATCACTGCCGACATATACACATAATTTCGAAAAATTAGAGGCCACATTTATTTGACAACCAGCATTAAAACACCGATAATAATGTCAGCCTTGAATTGCGGCATAAGAATGAACCATTGTCAACATCAAAGCCTCCGCAAGCAGCAGTGGAATTCTGACAATCGCTAAATTTTCGTCGCTAAAAATCTCTAACTGAAATGCAGCAGGTCTTAAAAATATACAACATGAAAGAGTAACACAAGCGATGCGTGTTGATTGAGGTGTGTGTGATTGCGTGTTGTTAGAGGCGTCTGCTATTCTTTTGGAGATTTTTAGCGATCAGAATTAGCGATAGCAAATGTTGGAACCCGGCTGAAAGACCGCTATCAAGCTACTTTTTAACTAATCATACGCGAATTTTAAGGTAAAATATTAATAATAGTTCTGTTTAACGGAATTTAAATATAAAACTATGAGAAAAGTTGACATAATCGCAATATTACAACAATTCGCCATTAGAAATTATGCACAAAATTTATTTCAGCATTTTCACAGCCAAAAATTTAGAATTTCAACACCGTCAACTCTAAACGTTTATAGTGATTAATACATCATTTAAAACTAACCAAACCAAGTAGTATGCACACAGCAGGACAGGATACTTAACAAGGAAAGGAAATAAGAGGGCTTGTTTGTATTCGTACATGCGTATGTATTTAGGTAAGTCATTTTTATATAAGTATGTACGTATATATACCTGTGTTTATATGTAAATACGTACACACACTTATTGTACACAGACACATATGCACATAAGTGAAGCAAAAGGAAGCTAATGGATTTGCTTTTCTTAATGATACTCCCATAGCCTCAAATATATCTGTGAAGACGAGCACAGCGCGTGTATAAGACAACTGATAAGAGCGTGCAGTCAATGGACGTACATATGTACATATGCATGTGTGTGTAAACATTAGGGTGTCTCACCTAAAAAATTTGCCGCTTGTCCATTTGTAACATAAAACTTGATTTATCTAATTTATGACTCCCAGCCAAATATTTTGTACCAAAGAAACTACAAAAATCATGTTTTGTCATAAAGTATTTAGGTATAACCTTTTTTGATTGTAAATTCTCTTGATAGGCAAATAAAAATAAAAATAAAAAAAATGAAATAAACCGATGTTTAAAATAGTACATTACTAAACGAGAACAATTTTTCTGCTCTTGGCAGGTGTGCCAACACCGTATCGTTCGTTCAATATAAAAATCAGAATTACAAAAAAAAAAAAACAATTAATACTAAGGGCTCATATTATCTGAGGCTTATTTTTGCGTCTAAACGAAAGTTTCGGGCATGGTTCCGAGGAAAGTAAAAATATATTTTTTTCTGAATCACCCTAATATGTATGCACGTAAGTATATTAGTAGATGTGTGTGTTTACGTCTGAATGCGCACGACGTTTGATGCTTTGAATTGTTGCTGCGTTACAATATTCGCCCAACTGCTGAGCTTAATTTATTTTCTAATGGATTATTAAAGAATAATTATTAAATGGTTAGAAGTTCCTTAGATGATGTTCTCATGATGTGCATTACATACGTAACGTATTATTGCAGATAATGGAGTAGATATTTAGTATAAGCCTAGTGAATTAAATGATTAAGACTAATGGGTCGATTACGGATAGCAACACAAATAAGAACAAATTGAGTGAAAGTTCTGAAATTTTATGAAAATGCATTTCCTTATCAAATAACTTTTTTTCTTGAAACAATTTTTTAAAATCCTTCCGGATCGCCACGATTTGACTGATTCTGCATAGAGAAATGCATTTAAAAAATTTAATTTTTCTTTTCAGCCCAGAAAATTTTGTATTCGAAAAATGTAGGAAATAGGCGGAAATATAAAAAAATAAATAAGGTATAACAAATAGTATTGTTTTCTAATTGTTTATTTATTAAATTGAGCTAATATAAATAATAAAAAAACAATATCTAGTTTACTAAAAAACGAAAACATATATTTTTTTTTTTTACTTTTCAGGCAATAGAAATAAAAAAAATATGACTTATGAAAAATTGTACGTTCGAAAACGTGCACAAAAAATTTTGTCATTTATATTCGTAAAGTTATTTTATATATATATACATAACGTTTAAAACTATGTACACAAATTTCGGAGCGGCTCTCTTATAACAACCGGGCTGAGGTGCACGGCAATACGTCCAAGTAAACGATCGATACTAAAGTAAACTCGTATCTGAATATAATACATATTTGTTTCAAAGATGTTATAGTATATTCCTCGAATATAAAAGAACATAGAGACCTTATTATTGCTTCCCTTTTCAGTTTCAAAGCTTCTCGAAATTCACAAGTATACGCTCTGGGTCATTACAGATTATATAATACTATCGTTGGAGTTGTATAAAAAGATCTTCGTTAACAATAAATAAATCAATACTTTTACCGACTTTTAGATATAAATCCATAAGTGGATACCCAGGTAACCCGATTGGACTACAACGTTTTATAATTTGGCTGCGTAAACTAGGGTTAAGGAAAAGTCTGTAATAAAGCTAAGTTCAGTACAATTATTTGTTTGAGAGTGAGAGAAGTGCCCGAACGTGGCCTCAATCAGGCGACATTTAAGGGATAATTCCAATACTCTAGAGCTACCGCCCGCACTGTAAGCAAAATATAATGCTTTGAAGGTATTTTGTTTAACACATGGTAACCCTATTCACAAAAGTAAACAAAGAAATAAAGCCCTGTTATATGTTCTGTATAGATAAGTTGGATTTAAATTTTATGGGCTATAAAACTGCATACCCAAAAATTCTAAAAATTCAGAATATACAGTTGAAATTTTGATGGAAATTTATTGAATTTCCTAATTTTTGTATAGAGTTTGAAACTTTGATTTACATATACGATATTTTGATATAAAAATAACAAAAAAATTTAGCTAAAAAAACATTACGAATATTTGTAGAAAATCACTGTCAAATCGAGTCACTGTCAATACATACAAACATTAATAAATATATAATTTTTACGCTATTATATGCTGATAGGTTAATTTGACTATCTTATTCATAGCTGCTTACTGCCCAGTTAACAATTTTGTCGTATGCCTTAACACCTTTTAATCACCACATAAATGTCCTTTACGCACAATGAAACAATGAAGAGCGCATGAATGTATGCTCCTGCTACATATGCTCGTTAATTAATTGTAATTTTAATTCGATTGTGTGCGGTTTATGCGGTTATTGAAATATATCGGGACATAAATAAAAGTACGTATGATGCTAAGTAAGTGCTAACCCGGCAAGAATTTTTTTCAATAACAAATTTAAGAATTTTTTTTTCATTGACAAATTTAAGATTAGCTTAACAACATCATGAGTGAATCACGTGAATCATACAATATTAAAAAAATAATAATAAATATCTAAAATATGCATGTTTGAACTAATCAAAAGGAGCTGCGTAGTAAACTAAATGCAGTTGTAGTTATTTACAGAATTTGAGAGTAGTTCAAAACTAGTCAAAATCCATAGAAACAGAAATTATCTTTGCAAATTAAATTTGAGGCGCAGATAACGTATATTGCGATATAGCCATGAGTCTAATTTGACTGCAGATTCAAACCCATTACCTTTCCTGCATGGAATGTTTGAACAGCAGCATGTGTTTGATAATCGCATGTAAAAGTTGCGGTAAGCACACGTGTCAATTAATCATATCAGCCGTAATACACTGCATTGAATTAGCTCGTCGCAAACCCTGCAGGAAATTTTAGTAGATACCCGAAGAATAAAGTTTTCTAAATATTTGATGGCGAACAAAGACGCGTAAACTTTTTTTTGGCAGTCAACCATGTTTGTTGGTGTAACAGTATACGAACTCCCCAAGGAGATTTTGGGCGAAGGATGACGAAGTGACAGTCCTTGGCCATGTATCAATCTATGTTTACTTTTTTTTTCTTCGCCGAAATTTTTTCACGTGTATTTTTTCTTTATTCGTTTCAAGTGATGTTATGTATGTATAATAAAGTTAACTTTAAGCTTCATCAAAATTTTTGCAATATGAAACGAACTAGAGTGCAGTTTGGCTTAGGCGAATAAATTTGTTTAGTTTTAATGTTTTGTTTCAGTGCATGTTTTTTAAAGCAGAGTCTGTTTTGGAATTTGGTTTTGCTTTCTAATTTTATGTTTATTGTTGCTGTTTCTTTAAGAAGAGGGTTTATGGTTAACGGTATATTGTCCCTTTTTATACCCGAGCGCACTTGTGCACAAGGGTATTATAACTTTGTTCACATAACGGTTGTTTGTAACAGGCAAAACGAATCGAGATAGATATAGACAAATGTATACATAAATGATCAGAATGAAAAGAGAAATCGATTAAGCGGTGACTGTCTGTCCGTCCGTCCGTCCGTCCGTCCGTCCGTCCGTCCGTCTGTGCACACGATAACTCGAGTAAAAAATGAGATATCTTAACAAAACTTGGTACGTGAACTTCTTTTGGGCGTGGGATGGATGGTATTGAAAATGGGCGAAATCGGATAATAACCACGCCTACCTCCCATATAACGGTAATTTTAAGAAATACGAAAACTGCGATATTTTAGTAACTACTGAAGATAATTCACTCAAAATTGATACTTACAATGAGTTTCAGACGAAAAAGATGAAT